TTGGGGCTATTTTTGTGACCATTCAGCATATTTTGGCTGTGTTTTGGGGAGTGTTTTGGGGAGTGTTTTGGGGAGTGTTTCGGGCCTGTTTCAGGACATTTTGGGGCTGTTTTGGGGCTGTTTTGGGGCTATTTTTGTGACCGTTTCAGGACATTGGCCCGCTCCGGCTCCGCCACACGGCGGCTCCCGCCCCTCCGCGCCGCTGCAGCCAATCAGCGCCGCGCTGGGCGTGAGTGACGGGCGGGCCGGCCAATGGGAGGCGGAGGAGGGAGGGAGTAATGCGCTAACGAGTGAAAACGCGCGATAGAATGATTGGCAGCGGGATTGACCAATCAGAACGGTGCAAGGCGGGGCAGCGTGGTTTTAATATGATTGGCAGATAATTCAGCCAATAGCAAGGGGGATGCGATGAAGGGGCGGGTCTTGAGGCTTTGATTGGCGTTTTGCTGGGTGCTTATTAATATTAATGAGGTTCATTAATATTAATGAGGTTTCCTGGGATTCTGCGGTTCCTTTCGGGGTCCCAAATGTCCCAAAATGACCCCAAATTGCCCCAAAATGGCCCCAAACCTCCCAAATTCCATAAATCCTCACAAAACGAACCCAAAATGACCCAAAATTCCAAAATTTCCACAACATGACCCCGAAATTGCCCCAAATTCCCAAAATTATTACAAAAGAGCCCCAAAATTGCACCAGATTCCCTGAATTCCCACAAAATGACCCCAAAATGGCCCCAAATTCCCACAAAATTCCCAAAATTTCATCAAATTCCCACAAAATTCTCCTAAAATGGCCCCAAATTCCCACAAAATTCCCAAAAATTTCCCCAAAATGGCCCCAAATTCGCACAAGATTTCCCAAATTCTCCCAAAATGGCTCCAAATTCCCACAAAATTCCCCAAATTCCCCCAAAATGGCCCCGAATTCCCCCAAAATTCCCCAAATTTCCCCCCAAACGCCCCCAAACGTCCCCTCCGGGAAAATGGGAAAAAATTGGAAAAAATGGGAAAAAATGGGAAAAATGGGGAAAAAATGGGGAAAAAAGAGAAATTTTTTAAAAAAAATATTGAAAAAAGGGGAAAATAACAAGAAAAGGTGAAAAAAGGGGAAAAAAGGATCAAAAAAAAGTTTAAAAAAGGGGGAAAAAAGGGTAAAAAAAGGCGATTTTTAGACCCACCAGGGAGGGGAAATTTGGGGAATTTTCCCCCAAAATTTGATGATTTTGGGGCTCCAAAAATGAGGATTTTTGGGACCCACCAGGGAGGGAAAATCTCAAAAAAATGGGGCAAAAAGGACAAGAAAAGGGGAAAATGTTAAAAAAAGAGAAAAAATGGAAAAATAACAAGAAAAAGTGAACAAAAGGGGAAAAAAGGACCAAAAAAAGTTTAAAAAAGGGGGAAAAAAGGGTAAAAAAAGGCGATTTTTAGACCCACCAGGGAGGGGAAATTTGGGGAATTTTCCCCCAAAATTTGATGATTTTGGGGCTCCAAAAATGAGTGGACCCACCAGGGAGGGGAAATTTGGGGAATTTTCCCCCAAAAATTGATGATTTTGGGGCTCCAAAAATGAGGATTTTTGGGACCCACCAGGGATGGAAAATTTGGGGAATTCCCCCTAAAAAAGGCAAATTTTGGGACCCTGATTTTGGGGTCTTGGGGAGGATTTTTGGGGTGAATTTGGGGAATTTTGGATGGAATTTTGATCAATTTTCAGTGAATTTTGAGGTGATTTTTGGATGAATTTTGGGTTAATTTTGGGGTGACTTTTGATGAATTTTGGGGTGAATTCTGATGAATTTTTGATTAATTTTAGGGTGAATTTTGGGCTGATTTCAGTTGAATTTTGGGCTGATTTTGGGGTAATTTTTGGTGGATTTTGGGTGATTTTGAGTAGATTTTTGGATGACTTTTGGGCTGATTTTAGGTGAATTTTGGGGTGAATTTTGGAAGAATTTTTGAATAATTTTGGGGTGAATTTCTGGTGAATTTCGGCTGATTTTGTGGTGAATTTCGGAGTGAATTTTTGGCTGATTTTTGATGAATTTCGGGTGAATTTTGGGCTGATTTTTGATGAATTTCGGTGCAATTTTGGGCTGAATTCTGATAAATTTTGGGCTGATTTTTGGATGAATTTTGGGCTGATTTTGCGCAATTTTGGAGTGATTTTTGGGCTGATTTTGGGTGATTTCGGAGTGAATTTTGGGCTGATTTTTGGATGAATTTTGGGCTGATTTT